TTGACTTTCAAGGGGCCTTCATTCTGAGCTAGCAAGGGGTGACTGGGTTTTTTGCACATTGTCTTGTTGATATGAACATTTAACCCAAGAAAATCATTCAATGGATATAGGATTTGCAAAGTGAACGAAAAAAATGTCTGACAATTGGCTATTTTTTGACATTTAACCTTCAAAACATGAACTTGACATTGCACATGGCCAGCATTGGTTCTGCATATCACCTTGATCTTGTGTACATTTGAACCAAGCTTGAAGAAAATCTTATTTGGGTATAGGATTTATAGGACTAACCAAAACAACTATGACTCCAGAGTTGCATTATAACAACAGTCCTATACCAAGATAACTATATATGTTTGCTGTTTTGATTTGATATTGTCAGAATTAACAGTGACCATGAAAACTCCAAAGCAAAGTCACTAAATTTCATTGGATTAGATACGTTTTATGTTGACAAGAAACCACTGAGGTTTGACAAAATAAAAAGGTCATCATTATTGTTAATGGATTAGTATAAATACATTTAGCATTCATGTATATAACTCATTCCAGCACCAATATATAACCATCATGCACACTACCAATACATGTATATACTATATATACTATATGGGGGAAAATACAGAAAATATCAGTCCATTAAAATACATAACAAGAGCTGTCCGTAAGACAGCGCGCTCGACTTTTTTATTGCTTGCCAATAAAAAAAGTTTTTGCAGTAAAAGGCAATACAAGAATCTCTGTATTTTTAAAGTGAACAATGGCCATGAGCATTAAGATATTTAGTGAAGAATTATTTTACTGAATTGTGTGATACCCTTGAACACTGCAGCAAAGTTTGAAATGTTTAAGTCAAATTAATATCTCAAACAGTTCAGTCAAAAAGTGGACTGGTACTAAAAACTTAACCAAGATTCTAAGTCGATAAAAGGCCTTAATTTTTAAAACAAATCCTTGACAGAGTTACCTTCTCTTGCGTACAGATGGGGGTAATGATGTGAAATAGCATTAAAAGTTTCAAAGCAATATCTCAAAGGGTTAAGGCAATAAGTGGATTTTACCCATATTCAATGTATTTTCTAAGTCAAAAAGGGGCATAATTCTGTCAAAAACCTTGACAGAGTTATGTCCTCTTGTCTGTTGATGAAGGTCGTGATGGTAAACAAGTATGGTCAGTTTCAAAGCAATACCTCCAATGGTTTTGAAATAAAGTGAGGTGGTACAAAAAACTTAACCAAGCTCAATACACTTTCTAAGTCAAAAAAGGGCCATAATTCTGTCAAAAACCTTGACAGAGTTATGTACTCTTGTCTGTAGATGGAGGTTATGATGGTGAACAAGTATGGTAAGTTTCAAAGCCATACTTGTAATACTTCTGAAATAAAGTGGGGTGGTACGAAAAACTTAACCAAGGTGTGACGCCAACGCCGACGCCAACGCCGACGCCGACGCCAACGCCGGGGCGAGTAGGATAGCTCCCCTTTTCATAGAAAAGTCGAGCTAAAAATTGTGTCATAATTTTATCTAGATCTCATTCTTTACATCTATAAAATGTATATAATCTAATGGCTTCACCAAGTAGTTTTATTATTAGGTTTTAACATCTGTGTTATCAAGAAAAGTCAATTTTGTAAATGTAAACAATATAAAACCGTCACAAAAATGAAGCAATTATTGTAATGTTTACAAATATTTAGACATTCTGATATCAGGTTGTTTTAGTAAATGGTGTGCTATCATATTTGAAACAAAGAACAAGAATGATTGGCATATTGCCAGAAAGTGTTATTTGTGCATATATAAACTGTGGCTTTACAAGAACTGACACACACAAAAAATAAACAGACAAACACATTGAAATAAATTTGCAGTGATAAAAAATTTGTTAATCCAAAATTTCAACTGTCAGTAACATACATTTTTGTATTTAAATTTCATTTTTTTACTACCATGTAACTTATTAAATAAGACTGTAAAGTGTTCACATACTTTAAGCCGGTTATTTTACTAACAGCTGCACTTGATGCTATAACCTCATTTTGCCCAACTGTTTTGGTCAGATGTTCTGTGGTCAAACCTAAAATCCAGCCTATAAGAGCATGGTGAGAGAATGAAGATATGTTAAAATATGTGCACAAAAAATGTAAGCTTGTAAGTTTGAAGTTTTGTAGAAATCAGCTGTGCTAAAAATAGAATGAGTTTTATCATTATGAAAACCTGAAAAAGAATGAAAGAGTGAATGCATCTCTATTGTTAATATATGAAGATGTAGCAATACCTAAAATAACCAAGATAACTTTCACTTTTTAACCTCTTATTATTGTAGAAAATACTAGAATGTATTATTTTTAGAAAAATTGTGTTTTTTTCTATTGGCAGTTAATTTGTAAACTTTGAAATGCCATTACTGAGCAAAAAGTCTTGTATGAATTCTTCCTTTCCAGATGAAAGAAGTCATACATACATGTATGAAAAATAATTTTGCAATCATACATTTTACAGACCATTAAATATGGTTAAGATTGGGATCATGCCAGACATTTCTACTACAGATATTAAGTCTCTACTGCTCTATATAATAATACATGCTACAATTTTACCATTTGACCCCCAAAAAGTCAATACTGCTTTAAATACTGTCTATTTCATGTAACATTTATTCATGCTTTAGTCTTTTTCAATATCAAAGCAGAATGAGTAAATTTTGTCATTTTTGAGATACATGTAGAATCGATTTGTATACAGTATTATCAAGATCAAGATTGCTGAACAATTACATGAATTACTGATTACTGAGAGAAAAAAATTCCCCTTGCGACAAAGAATGTAAATTAAATACTTGTCATTTAACTACAAGAGATTAATACAGTTGCTAAAAGTATTTCTTGTTGAAACTATATATAAATGAAGATGATAAAATTTAGGTCCAAAACTACACTCCCTATCATATCATATCTAGTCTCTCTAAAATGTCTTTATCTATTGCTACAAATTTTATTGTCAATGAGTAATTTTATGTGTCTAAGCAAGAATAAAAATAGAAGAAAGTTCATATATCACAAATACATAACTGCATCTCAAAACTGCAATTAGACACCCTGCTCTCAGATCAGTATAAATACAAATCAACAATGTAATACCAACATATAAAGCATCAAGCAACTTTTTTACAAGGAATTTGCATATGTATCAGTTTAGAAGATTAAATAATGAATATATATAACATATACAATAAGTCTCTGTAACATTGGAAGTTTTTTTTTCAACGGCAGGCAATAACCTAAAAAAACTGATTCATTCAAGATAATACAGAGTCCATTTAACCAACTGTTTTCTTTGAACAGATTTAAACAGTCAGCTCGCTTAATCAACTTCTAATCCAAATCAAATTCCTTGTAAGAGAGTATAAAGACATGCTATAGCTAAGCTAGTGGTAAATATAGAGAATATATAATAAACAAGTTTGTAGGGTACTGTCCTCATGTACTACCTAAGTCCAACAATCTTATCTCTACCCTCAGCGGTCAAGATGGCAGCACCTGGCCCAGCTTTTTTCTGTTTAATCTCTGTTGTCAGGCCAAGTATCCAACCTTTAATATTGATCAGTGGCTAATTGTATAAGTATCAATTCTTTCAACATGTACTGTGAGATTAATTTATAATTTTCCAAATACTGTATAAGTGGTTAAGTTTGTGGTGCTGAAATGTTGGCTAATTTTGCAATTGACCAAAATCGCTAAAAATTCTTCTAGTGTAAATATCAACCAACATGTCATTAAATGCTACCCTTGCACAATTTGCTAATATATTTCCTCAAATATTTCCTCACAAGGAATGTCTGGAATTTCAAATTTGCTAACTTTTCTTCACACGGAAATATCCATTTATACAGTATAACAATCTATAGACAAATGGTCTGTGACAAAAACCATTCACAGCTTACAACAACTTTCAAAGACTGTAAGTAAAGTCTGTACCATTTCCAGACCTGATACACGTAGTTCAATATATATCTAGATATTGCCTTTTTGTTTGTTTGTTGTTGTTCTTCTTCTCAAATATATTTCGGCAAAATCATAATACATGAATGATATTGAGCATGAAACTCAGCTCAGACTGTGATTAGATGTCAATACTTAGTGTCCAGAAACTGCAGTTATCAGATAATCCAATACATGTTTAAAATATGCATTAAAAATATTTAATACTAAATTGGCAGTATATCTTTTATGAATAACTGGCTTTGTCAGAATATTTAACCTTAACCTGTTGGTGGCATTACTGAACTTAACTATGCCAACATCAGTGCCATCTGATCGATTATGGTAAGCACTGTTCATTATTCAGTCACTACTGAAGTAACTATTTTTCCTAAAGAATAGCTTTGTCCAGACTGGAAGATGGACAAGCCCATTTAAGATCTGAAGCATGGCAAAGGTTTAAGATTAAACATTTTTAGTTCTCATGGAGATAATGTTAGCATATACTAGCAGAAGTCAGGGCAGTCTAACAAGACTGTATACATACCAATAGTTAGATGCTTAATTTCTGTACTTAGATATCAACTTTATATCACATGGACATATTTTAATTCTTAGCTGGAAGAATCAATAATACAAAATCAACAGGCTAAAGGCAAATGACATGAAGTAAACATAAAACGACTGTGGACATGACAGGTTTCAGCAGCTTACCAGCATATGTTGAGCAGACAATTTCATCATATCCTCCACTTGCAACTATCCCACCTTGTACAGATGTTATACTCTCACTACATGTCTGAATAATAACAAAAATTTGTTCTCTTTTGTATAGGGGTGTCACTGATAGCAAAAGTGTTAACTGTTATGACTTTATAACCGTGTTAAACATTCAACCAACTGTATTAAAAGAATTCTTAGATTTTTAACATTTATAAGATAGCACATTTTGTTTCTATTTTGTTCTACTCAAAGACAATAACAAATTATATCCTATTATATACAGAGTAACTGTTGTGTGTTAGGAAACGCAATAAAATAGCATGCAATCAGAAAAAATACATTTTAAATAAAAACAAAATGTCATATTTTGTCATAAAGAAACAGATGTTATGTTCAAAATTTAGCTACAATTTCTTCAGCTGTTAGTCTGTTAGAACATGAACCTTGGTTTCGGGCTTTGGAATTTTCTAAATGGTTTTTGGGTATAATCTGCCCAAACCCATTTAAATGTATTCCTGTTTAGTGTAGACCCGGATCCTCTGGCTTGTACTGAAATTTCTTATTATCAATTCATTTTAATTGAAATCCTTCTATAATACTGCAAAGTTTTAATGTGAGGGATCTATCACAGCAGTTCAAATATACTTACATGTGTGTGTCTATGGATAGGCTCATCTGAGTCATCATAACTGTACACCTCTACCAGGCCATCATCCCGTCCTAGAATCAGGTCAAGGACACCGTCTGCTGTGATGTCATAATTATCAATACATAACACACCACCATTACGCTTGTCATTGGGCAGTTCCCATCTATGATTAGGCTGATCTCTGAAATTTAAACAAATCACATATTTTGACATCCAAAACCTAGAAAATAACAACCAGTTTTTTTGAAGTCTATAACATTTTGAAGGCATTATTTTATAGTTATTTTAATATGTTTAACAAAATGTACTTGAAATTCAATCATCATGGATCGAACTATGAAGTCAAAAATTTCTTTTCTATTTTTAGATGAAATAAAATATATGTGATGTTTATTGTAATTATAACTTGATGATACTTTTCAGTGTTTTCTGGAAATGATAAAAAACTGGAATTAATATAACTAGTGAATTTAAAATCAGAATTTGGATAACAAAAAAAGGAAAGCAAGTGACAGTTCAATAAAATATTGAAACTAAAACACCAGAACATATAACTGTAACTAACATCCTGAAAGAAACAAGTTTGCTTCATTTCAAGAAACCAATGACAACAAAATCTTGAACTTGAATAGGCTTTTCAGTGACGGTTTCACTGACTACCTACCTTCTGTTTTTTTCCCAGTACATACGAGTTCTGCAGCTCATTAAAGTCCTACACATATAGAATTTTAAAAAATGCACTTGTTTTAAGATTTTACATCTTCTCATCCTTTATCATGCATGAGTGGTATCCCGTTTAGTCAAGCTAAATGTTATAGACTTGTCATTTCCAATGACGACACTTTTAAGCAGTCTTTAGATACATTGAATAGTAATTATCCTTAATCAATTATTTAGAAAGCTTTTTCTCAAATACAAGGCATGTCAAAATATGATGCTTTTAGTCCTCAGCTCTTAAAACATTCTAGTTCAATAATGCCTTTTACTGTATGTTTTTATATTTGATGATCTCTGCTTAATATTGGTGAAATCATAAATAAATATAAGGATCTATTACTTTTGTCTGATAAAGCATTTAACATTTTCATAACAAGTTCAGGCCTATTTAAGCTTATAGAAGTCCTAAAAATATACAAGATTATCTTAAAATGTCACATTTTTTTCATTTTTACCTATAGAAACTAGAGGATGCTTTTGTAAAAAAGCGCATGTCTCCCCCACTGTGGAAATGAGAAAATGACCAATGGTCACTGTGACCTTAACCTTTGACCTACTGACCCCATAAACAAGAGGGATCATCTGCTCAATAAGACCAATCATCCTATGAAGTTTGAGGGTTGTAGGTCTAAAGGAACTCTAGTTATCATCCGGAAAGGAGAAATTAACCAACGGTCGCTGTGACCTTGACCTTTGACCTACTGACCATTAAAACAATAGGGATCATTTGATTAATAAGACCAATCATCCTATGAAGTTTGAGGGTTGTAGGTCAAAAGGAACTCTAGTTATCATCCGGAAATGAGAAATTGACCAACGGTCACTGTGACCTTGACCTTTGACCTACTGACCCCAAAAACAATAGGGATCATCTGCTCTATAAGACCAATCATCCTATGAAGTTTGAGGGCTGTAGGTCAAAAGGAACTCTAGTTATCATCCGGAAATGAGAAATTGACCAACGGTCACTGTGACCTTGACCTTTGAACTACTGACCCCAAAAACAATAGGGATCATCTGCTCAATAAGACCAATCATCCTATGAAGTTTGAGGTCTGTAGGTCTAAAGGAACTCTAGTTATCATCCGGAAACGAGAAATTGACCAACGGTCAGTGTGACCTTGACCTTTGACCTACTGACCCCAAAAACAATAGGGATCATCTGCTCTATAAGACCAATCATCCTATGAAGTTTGAGGGCTGTAGGTCAAAAAGAACTCTAGTTATCATCCGGAAACGAGAAATTGACCAACGGTCACTGTGACCTTGACCTTTGAACTACTGACCCCAAAAACAATAGGGATCATCTGCTCTATAAGACCAATCATCCTATGAAGTTTGAGGTCTGTAGGTCTAAAGGAACTCTAGTTATCATCCGGAAACGAGAAATTGACCAACGGTCAGTGTGACCTTGACCTTTGACCTACTGACCCCAAAAACAATAGGGATCATCAGCTCTATAAGACCAATCATCCTATGAAGTTTGAGGGCTGTAGGTCAAAAGGAACTCTAGTTATCGTCCGGAAACGAAGAATGGACGGACGGACGGACGGATTGACGGACGGACGGACGGACAGGGCAAAAACAATATGTCTCCCCCCGAGGTGGGGGAGACATAATTATAGGTAACAGCATGGTCTGGTTGTGTAAGGAATATTTTTGGATCCATAAATTAAATACTCTTATTCCAAATGGCCTTAATAGTTTGTAACATGAATATTGATGTATTTGTCTATTATCTTCTTTTATATTCACTGTGTAATTGACATCTGTATCATTATATAATCCATTTTTATTCATGTACCAGCTTTATTCATAACATAAATATTTGTTTCTACATGTTATTATATTTTACTGCTAAATGCCATAATGTGTTTTAACGTTTAACACATGTTCAGATATAACATCACTACCAGTAATTTCATTATGTTTAGCACTAATGAAGGAAACATATGCAACAAATAATTTCACAATGTTCATGTTTGTGTTGCTCGTTAATTTTAGAATTGAAATTAAACAAGAGCTGTCGGTAGGACAGCAACGCTCGACTATTCTTAGTGCTTGATAGTAAGATAGCCTTGATAATGTAAAATTTCCTAAGTTAACAAAAGGGAAATTTTTTTTCTTTAAATCCATGGTACAGATATAGGCCTTGGAGAGAGTCCTATTATGCTCTCAAAGAGTATAAAAATTTCATCTTGGTTTAAAGCCATATATCAATGGACTTTTTTTGAGGTATTACAAAAGCTTTTACGAAAATTCTAAGTCGAAAAAGGGGCATAATTCTGTCAAAATGCATGATAGAGTTACCTCCTCCTGTCTACAGGTTTGGATCATGATGGTGAACAAATGTGCCAAGTTTCAAAGCCATATGTCAATGGACTTTGAAAATATTTGAGGTATTACAAAAACTTTAACGTAAATTCTAAGTCAAAAACGGGGCATAATTCTGTCAAAAAGCTTGATACAGTTAATTCCCTGTCTACAGTTTCGGGTCATGATGGTGAACAAGTGTGCAAAGTTTCAAAACCATATGTCAATGGACTTTGAAAATATTTGAGGTATTACAAAAACTTTAATGTAAATTCTAAGTCAAAAACGGGGCATAATTCTGTCAAAATGCTTGGTACAGTTACCTCCCCCTGTCTACAGGTTGGGGTCATGATGGTGAAAAAGTGTGCAAAGTTTCAAAGCCATATGTCAATGGACTTTGAAAAAATTTGAGGTATTACAAAAATTTTAACATAAGTCAGGTTACGCCGACGCGAACGCTGACGCTCGGGTGACTACAATAGCTCTTCTTATTCTTATCGAATAGTCGAGCTAAAAATCAGAAAAACAACAGATAACCATATGTTGACAGTTTGAAAAAAAAATTGGGTCCTTCAAGTACCTAGAGGTCCAAGTTAACAAATTTGAAAAGGAAGTGTTAAACCTATAGACTCTTACTCATGATGATAAAACTAAGACTGGTGATAGAATTAATACTGTAGACGAAAGCGCAGAAAGTGTCGAACATGTAACAACAGCAACAGTGCAAGAATTTGAAGTTGAGAAAAACAACTGAATGATGAACCATTTTATATCTTAAGACAAAGCATCAGAAAAAAGTCAAAATTTATTAATGTATCTTTCCTTTGCCATGGGCAAGTTTTTCAAGGTCATTTCTATTAATTAACAATGATTACTCTCCAATAATCTCAAAGATGCTAAAATAAAAAAAAAATACTTTCTGATATTTATAGATAAAAAAATCTTAATTTTATTACATAAAGTTTGATATTTATCCAGATTCTTTAAGCTCCTCCATTATTTTTCTTGTCCTAGACACTAAACCTCTAATAAGTGTTCATGCCTTTTGCTGTGCATTTTTCTTGTAAAGCAACCTTTGTCTAATTACAATTCAATTACTTTATCAAGTTCAAAGTCAATTCAATGCAGTCTAAATACTAACAGAGAAATGTAAACACCATCTCAGTAGGGGCCAAGCGTTTATTGAAATAATTATATACAATAAATACAAGTCTCCAATAAATATTTTGTTCTGTGCTTTAAAAATGGTTTGGACAATAATATGATAGAAGAGTACATAAATATGTAATGATTTGGCAATAATTACAAACCTTCCAATATGGACAAGACCAACTCTGCCATCAGCTGTACCAAACAGTATTTCAGTACCATCCTCACCTGTCATATAAAACAAACAAACTTTTATAATTACTCATGGATAGTTCATATCATCGATAATGATGACATATCAAAATACACATTTGGGTAATAAGAATATCACTCAGTAAAGACTTCCCAATAAATGAATTTACTTTTTTCATTAAAATGAATATATTTATTTGCAGAAAAAGTGTTTGTTTTTTCATAAATATAGAATAAATATTACTTCAGTAAAATTAATATCTAACACCAGCAACAAGTTCATTTCATTAAATTCTCTTACTTCTTATTTTTGGACACAACTCAAACATGTCACTAACTTACATACAAGTACATCCTCTGTGTATATAATTCTTAAAGAATACACTATAAAAGTAACAGCTAAGATAATGTATCTTTAACAATAAGGAAGTGCTATAGATTTTTGTTTTTTGAGGAGTAAATTTTTAATGTCTGTATCCAATAAAAGCCAATGTTAACTTAGTGATCCCCGAGTTGGAACCATATGTCATGATTTATATATCACAGACAATTTTGTACAGGTTCACTAGGCATTGCTAGATGCTAAATATCAAAGCTCTTGACAACACATGTAGATTTAAAGTGTAAAGTCGGTGTAAAGAGATGCACACCCTGGGGGTACCTAATTTTGACACTGTATCTTTTAATTCATATAAATCGTGTCAAGGATCACAAGCGTTTTTATAACAAGATTTTTAAGGTTTTTTATTTAACTCCAATGACCAAGTTATGCATCAGAATGAAACCATCTATGGCATTTTGTAGAGGGTTTCCCAAAGATAATGTTCCTGTAAAGTTTGGTCTAATTCTACCATTTGGTTAAGAAGAGGTTGGTGAACTTGGTGCATAAAAAGCACAATGGAAAACAGGCATAATGTGATCACAAAAATTCACCTCTAAGTACTTTGTGCTTGAGTGATCTAATAAAATTTGCTATTCATTTCTATAGAACAAATGAATTGAATATTATTAATATTATTACCTCCATCATTTCCATATAAGGACATGGTAACAGGTGGGCCAGGTACTTCTACTTCATAGAGTAATTCATTCTCCTGAAATAAATTAACAATAATCCATATTAAATAAACAGACAGTCATTACAGCTCTACCTGAAGTTAATAGTAATTAAAAGAGAATATAAGATAAGTAACAACAAAGCCTCTGATTTGTATTGATTGATTATTTTATTTGAAAGCTTTGGAAGCTACTGGTGATAACCTGTGCATGCCTTTTCCCAAAGTCACTATAAGTCAGATTACCATAACCCCCCCCCCCCCCAATCTTTAAGAACAATTCCTAATTAAACTAAAATTCCAAGTATCATAACTGACAAATTTGCTGGAGTTTATTCCATCATTCCAGGATGGTATCAGACAGATGTTTCCACACATTTAATTGTCAATTTTAATGTATTTTTATGCTTTCAATGATATTTGCATTGGTTGGAATAAACATTTTTGCACAATTCAAAGTACTATGCCAAAAAGAGCATGAAGGAGGTTTCAAAAGGAAGCAAATATTTTTCCCAATTAAGCAATTTCACATTGCAAAATTTCTCAAACTGGGCAAGTTACTTTTCCCAAAATGTCTAGAAAAGCAAGGTGCCAGCAGTCTGTTCATCTTAGTTTTAGTACTTTGATCTTTAAATATCATCAGCTACAAAACTAAAGAAAGGCAAGTACAATCATGTATTACACAAACTTAACTGAGTAGTACCTGTAACACTCGAAGCACCCTGTCCTGGCAGGCAAGTATTGGGGTAATATCCTGTACTACATTTGTAGGTAGGCATATTACATCACTCACTTCATCACCAGACAGGAAAAAATTGGTATCCTTACAGTCCCTGTAGTGATTGTACATAAACTTCCCACAACAAAACAGGTCAGAACCCTCAACATACCTGTAGTGATAAATAAATAAAACAAAACATGTAACAGCATTGATTTGTTATGTATTATTTATGCAAAGATTACCCCACTATTCTATTTATTCTAAATTAATATTCTTCAGTTAATATTTAGTCTACAATACCAGTTGAAACAGTTTAAAAGGTTCTTGCTTTTTACTAAGTTTTTACACACAAAAAATATTTCAAACAATACCTGAATACTCTCCTGAATTTGCATTCAAAGTGTCATCTTCATAGTGTCATAATTTTTCTTGGCATTTTGCATTATATGTATATATAATAAACTGTTTCAAGTACCGCATTAAACAAAATTAAAGTCATTTGAAATCAAAATAACTTACATTGATTCAATAGATTCTGACATGTTAGTGTCAAATGATAGGAAGTTCTTGCCCTTCTTTGTGTAACCTTTCACCTCTGGACCGGAGGCAACAAAAATTCTTTCCCTCACTCCATCTACTGGTCCCCCTAGTTCCAAACGGCTGATTTTATGCCCTGGCTGAGTCTTGAACACTGACTACAAGATTTATTTTACATATTTAGTTTAGGCTCTAGTCACAGTGATACTTTTAAAATAATGACAATACTGGAGAAAAGAGCTTAAGCTGTCTATTTGTGTTTTATTCAAAATAGAAACAACAATATCCTACAAACTTGCATTAAGAATGGCAAACATGATATAATTTGATGACCTTTATGATATTTAAATCAACATTAATAAAGGCCATGTGATTCAAAAATAAAAACCTTTAATCATATCTCCTAAGTGGGTCCAAATTAAAACAATTTTATACTTGTAAATTTAATACATGTACTTTAATCAATTATTATTTAATTAATGTATCACAAAAAACAGTCTCAAAAACCAGAGAAATTTAATTAACAGTATAAATATCATGTATCATGCCTTTTGTATTAATCATATAAAATAAGTTTTTATCTGGTTAAAGTTTTAATATTTTATATGTGTTTATTTATCTGGTTAAATTATAACTCACTGGAATAGTCATAAAGTGTTCATTGCAATACTAATTGTATTTTTCCATTTGATTTTATAACCTGTATATTTTTTTGATATACAGTAGTTAATTCTAACTAAAAACAATTATTACATGTATATGCATTAATTATAACCATTTTGTAATATCAATAAAACATTGTGCTAAAATGTACAAACCTGAACTTCACCCTTTTTGAGACCAAACACTTGTAAAACCCCCTTATGATCAGCTACAGCTATCTGCAAATATGATAGATAATTTGCTATTTTTCTATTTATCAAGATGTGTTTTTCTCTAAATTTCAAGTTTCTTAGTAAGAGAAGAAAGTAACTGCTTAAAGCCACTCAGACTCCTGAAAATATTGCATCTGGTGTTCACTCTGAGAAATATATTCTGATCTTACATGCAAAACAAACAAATATTCTTTTTATATTCATTATGTTATTATGTCAGATAATTGGCATACATACCTTTTGTGTTTTCCCAGACACTGGAAGTAAACTCAAACTTTTGGGAGATGTTACACCAACCTGAATATAAGAATAAAAGAGTGTATGATATTATATTTTCATGATTTTTTTCTCAAGTCCTATTCTTTTACTAAAATGAACAACAATTTATATCTCCAACAATCAATAATGGTCCCGACCACACATTATTGTATTAGAATCATAGTGACACAGATCTGTTTAAATAAGTCTAAGAAGATAAAGATGCAAGGAAGCAAAGTTGAAAACAGAGAGAATAAACTATACTAGTATACTGTAAATGGTTTTAACACTAATTTTTTCAACATTCAATATTTAACATGAACCAATCAGATTTGTAGCAGGCCTTTTTTTCCTGATACACTTATTACCAATAAATACAGGCATCAGAATGCCTAAACATATGTTCTTTCCTAATTGGGAAGCATAAAATTTCAAATCAGCAGTCTGCAAGGCTGTCAATAGAAGCTAATCCTTTATTCATTATGTGCTCAGCAGTTTCTTTTAGTAACTTTAAATAATTCCCTAGTTCATTACATATTGTCTTTGTGAATTTGCATGACCATAATGCATCACCATGCACTTTTCAACATTAAAATTTATCTCCCATATGTCTGCCCAGTTCATAACTGAGACAATATTATCCTGGTCGTGGAGAATATCTGACTTGCTAGTTGGTGTATACAATTTTGTATCATCCGCAAATATTTTAATATATGATTTAACATTTTCTGTGATATCATTCACATATATAATAAAAAGACCCGGCCCTACCACACCACCTTGTTGTGGCACTCAACTTAATCCACTGCCTTCCACAATGTCCATGTAGACATGTAGATGTAGCCTAGGTATATCGAATGAAAAACTACAAGTTGTTTCCCTTATCTAGAGTAAAATCGATATTTTTAATGCTAAAACAATACAAATTTAGTCATTTTAAACCGCTAGTTTGGGGTGATTTAATGTCTGAATTTAAAATATTTTACACCAATGAAAATCTTGTGATCTTAGCTTTGTCTCAGTATATATTTAAACACATTGTTTGACACTAAATGTATTTAAATTAATGGTTAAAGTCAGACATTATGCTCATATTTTCATAGTAAAGTTGAGCTGAATTGACGTTATATTTCTAAAGATTGACTGTCAAAATGGTGTTTGACCAACAGTTGATATTGGAAAATGTTAAGGATAAAATTATAAATCTACCTAAAATCTAAAAAGACTGCCCCACTCTTTTTATAAACAAAGGGTTATACGTAAATTCTAACGGATATTTACAGAAATTTCATTTGGATCTGTGTGTTATCTATTGTTTATGTAAAATTAATGATTAAATTAAAAGGGATTATGTCAAAATGAAAACCTATTTTGATCTTCACCCGTTCACTCACTATATACCCTTGGATGGGCATAATGCACATGTCAGACCATTTTACATACAATTTATACAGTGAGATGCGTAAGTATTCTACTGATAGCGAGTTCGAAGAGCTGGCCTGAAGGGCCTGCTCACAAAGCAAGCTTTACGGTAAGGCGAGTACATGCTTGATAGTGATGGTTGTGAAAACTTTGTCCTAAGTACTGAACTGACCCAGCGCAACTTTTCGAATAACAAGATAACGATAAAATCAGAGGTATTCTGATTGAAAACGGAAGCGTAGACTGGTGTCCTGCGCACTAATACGGGAACCGTAATTGGACAGGGAACCAGAATAAATGTAAAATACTGAATGACAATTTTAAAACGGAAAATGTAAAATAAAAATGAACGATTGTTTAATACTATTTCACAGTTGGCTTTGAGGCTTTGCCTTTTTCATATTAAGAATAGCCTGTTGTCTGCTAGTTGTGAAACTATTATGCAATCAGTGTATTGGCGATACAGTAGCCTGGAACCCCTTTGTATCGATCTATTTACCTTTAAATGACAACTGCAGTTAAAAATTTAAATCTCCCTGAATCTTTATTTTGTATCATTTATTTTGATTCTTTTGTCATAATATTTACATGGCAAACGTCACTGATATATAGTTTTTAGCTTTGGAATATACGGATATTTACAGACATGTCAAACAGGTTGAAGAATTAGGTCACGCCATTATATCGATGCATTGTGAGAATCGCTCAGTTATTTAAAGTTTGGGAAGCCTGACCCATCTTTATGTTAGATTTTTCAGTCAATTAGAATCAAAGATGTCTGTTTTAAAATGTCAGCATAAATTTAGGAACTTTCAACAGACAGTAAATGTGTATTTAATAAGAACACACTATTTATAAGTCTATTTATTATCTACAAAGTCTGACATACCCAGCAGGCACATCAACGTTGTTTCAACGTTGAATTATGGTCAGATTTCAACGCTGAAATAAGGTTGGATTTATATTCGGATTTGAAAGTTGAAACAACGTTGAAATTTCAACGTTGATACAACGTTGCAGCTTCAATGTTGGCACAACGTTGAAGTTTCAATGTCATTTCAACGTTGAAAACCCACCATACTTAAATATTTGGATATAAAGCAAAGTAACCGAGTTTAACAAAATATCAAGACAATATTAAATACTTCAGATATTTTATTTCAAAAATACAGTTCAAGTGCAGCTTAAATTCACTTTAATAGTTTTAACAATTAAGCTACAATCTTTTCCAATCTTTTCTTCTAGATCTTTCTGGGTATGTCAAGTGTTTGAGTACTTCTTTGGCTGTCTCTTACTGCTTCTGCAAATAAAAATAAGAAGTTTGAAGTTAAAAGTGACTTGGTCAATCTCAAATTATACATATAATTACTCAACTTAGTGAATTTTTTTTTTATCTTAAAATGCTTTTCTCTAAGATGTACATCATAAAACAGCATAGAAATTGAAACATAGCTAAGTTTGATATTGACAGCAAATACTGTATAAGACAACAAAATCTTTTTAAAAAGAAGCTATTTAAAAGTCTCACCTATGATTGGTAAGAAAAACTGCTCCCCGTCAGTTACTTGCAGCATATTCCCAAGAAATTTACATTCTAGGCTCTAGCTAAGACCATTTTATGCAGCATCCTGAAATCAACAAACATGTAAATTTTAAATTAATAATGTTACAGGAATATTCCGAAAGAAATATATTTTAAGACAAGATAAATATCCAGTAGTTGAAAAATTTATACTTTGTATTGTAAAGAAATTCAAATAGGCCTATATAAATTAATAAGAATAAATTTCAATGTAACAAACCTGAAACTCCTTTTCATGTTGAATGTATGGTATACAGGCTACAGCTGCAATACTCTAAATTCAGCCAGGACCAGGATCTAGAATATAAAATAATATATAATATAAAATAAAAATATAGATTTATTATTCCCTTAAAATTACGACTATTAAACTTTAAAGTTTAACACTCAAATTTGTTATTTAACTTAATAATAATCATTATAATGTATTTTTTTTCAAACTAATTAACACTGTATTATACTATCAATAAAATATAAAACATAGTTATATATATTGACGAATCGTCTTTGGGACGTAAATTAAGTGGGCCGAACTACTTTATAGGTTTTCAATTTTAAAATTGATTAAATTCTAAATAGGATATAGTACAGACAAATGTTTAATAATATGAAAAATAAATTAAAGAAAGACAAGATTTGTAAAATCATAAATTGCCAATGACATCAATAACTTCATGCTTACAAGGCCCTACCGAACCCAAATCATTCAATTAGGTCGCGAAAACGTGTCAAATCAACTCAATCATGTGTTTATATCTCTCATTTATTTCATAAAGTAAATTAAAGTAGAATTTAAACAATGAATATTAATATTTTAGAAAATAACCAGTAAACTAAAGTAAAATATAACGGTAATACCTTCGAAATCCAAATAAATTGCCAATCGTGTTGTTTTCAAATTTTCCAAACAGGCCCACCATTTGCACAAACGATCATCATAGACAAACAAACAAAATCATAGACCGCAACAATTACTTCCCCTGACCAGCGTTATTTTATAAACGGGGTTTTGACTAATATCAATTTATTAAATAATATTATTCATAAGGAACTAAAAAATAAAACAACAAACAACAAAACATATTAACTAATGTTTAAAGCGTTAATAGAAAGTGAAAATTATTTCCAACTTTATCTGTTTAAGCGCTAATTTTGAATATACGAAAAAAAGATTGTAACGCAAATTTTTCTGACAAAAATCACTTGCAGACTAACTCAATAAAGGAATAATATCACAAAATTAGTGGTATAAAAGTTTATATAATGATTAAACTAAATGTAAAACTTCGACCATAAACAACGTTGAATCAACGTTGTATATACATTGGCAATATATCCGTATGGTCATCCATAGTTGCATATTGGTTGAACAACGTCACGACCATATTTCAACGTTGTTTCAACGTTGAAACAACGTCGAGTGCCTGCTGGGACGGTACTGGAAACATGTTTTTGATCATTTTTACGGCACAAAACGAATGCGAAAGATTTTTGTGACACTGTTGTAATTGTTAACAATCAGTAGGTGGCGTATTTTGCAAAAAATCTAAAGATTTGTAAATAGATCGATACAATAAATAGCACGATACAATGGGGTTCCACTTGTAATAGGATGGGTATTTACGGTAATCTAAGTTAACAGTTAATCTGTAAGTTATGAGTTACTATCTTACATACTTATTGCATGGTATATACAATATTATTTTCAACCAATCAAATTGTTGTAGTGAATACTGAATTGTATAAATAAGCTGACTTTTGCAATGTTAGCGAGGTTAGGTACTGCACCTACTCTGGTCAGTACTACAAGGCTTAGCCCTTGGGAAAATTAAACTGGCTTATCCTTAACAAAAAATTTTTCCCTTTTTTATAAAACCCAATATATAAAAAATATTAAAAATTTTCTTAAATTAAAAAATAAAAATTTGTTTTTTTAAATTTTAAAAATAAATTTTGATTAGTATACTTTTTTCAATTTTTGGGCTTTTATAAATTAAAAACATTGATTTAAAATTTTATTTTCCCAGTTGTTGTTTTAGTTCCATTCTTTATAAAGTGGGAAATTATATATAAAACTACTGAGCCCTGAAGGGAATTTTTCCCGTTAATTTTATCGTTTTGGGCTCCGTGTAAGCATTTATTCTCATTGAACCTGCCCCCTATTACACACTTTTAAAATCCTTCCATCTTTTTGGGAAATTTTTCTTTTTTTTAGAAACTTTTTTTTTAAAGGTTTTTAAAAGGAAAAAGTATTTTGTCATGCGTTAAAATTTAAATTTGTTTAGAGAAGAAGACAAGACTTGAAGTATATGTACTGGGATTGAAAAATATACAATTCATTTGGCATCGCTCGGACACACTTCAAAGTTTAGACTTAAAGACTGGGGAATGATAAAAAAAAAATGAAGCATATGAAATATTGAAGATTGGCGGATAGACATCTGTACTTGAGAAGAATGTCCTGTGTATTACCTGTGTATAATCCACACGTGTTAAGTTTATTTCCATCATTTTGAAAGTTAAAATGCATGGAAATTTGCAACTCAATTTGACAGCAACCGGAAATCAACCAAAAATGCAGGTTAGATCCGCAGAAAATCTCTAAAGATTGTCTAAAACCTGTCAATTTCTACACGTCCATTTCCGTACAATTTACTCTTTAGAATTAGTGTCTTTCCTGGTTCGATTGATGCCCCTACTATGGGGAGGACATTTAGATTTACCCTTGTCCGTCCATCCGTCCGTCCTTCCTTTTTTCGTTCCGTACGTCCGTCCGTTATCTTGTTATGTCGCATGTACCTCAAAAATTATTTGATAATTGCGTTTGGATTTATTCAGTATTTGTAGAGAACTTTATTGCCCTTGACTTAGTAAAAATTTGCAATTTTCAACTTGTGTCACACATAGCTAAAAATGTATTTAACCTAGAATCATGAAACTTTACAAAAATGTCGCTCAGCATGTGAAGTTGTGCACCTGGGGTTTCGCTTGTGAATTTATTCTGTTTTGCACAAGTTATTGCCCTTGACTTAGTGATTTGCAATTTTCAATGTGTGTCGCACATAGCTCAAAAGTATTTGACCTTGGGTCATGAAACCTTACAGAAAGGTTGATCAGCATGTGAATTTGTGCAACTTGGGTTTCGCTTGTGGGTTTATTCTGTGTTGTCAAATTTATTGGCATTGACTTAGCAAAAATTTGCAATTTTCAATTTGTTTCGTGCATAGCTCAAAAGTGTTAAACCTATAGTCATGAAACTTAACAGGAACGTTGGTCAGCATGTGAAGTTATGCACCTGGAGGTTCGATTTTGGATTTTTCAGTATTTGAATAGTTATTGCCCTTGACTTATTAAAAACCATTCCATTATGATGTGTTATGTATTTATTGAGTGATTGCGTAAGAATCAAACAACATAAAAAAGAATAGTGATCAACATCACTGTGAAGCTGTGCACCTGGGGCATGTGTTTTTTTCCAGTTTTGTTAGTTATTGCCCTTGGCTTCGAATTAATTTGCAATTTCAACTTGTTCATGCATAGCTCAAAAAGTATTTGACCGTAGACCTGAAAGTTTACAAGAATGTTGGTCAGCATGTGTACTTATGCACCTTAGGGTTTGCTCTTGGATTTATTCAGTATTTGTAAAGTTCTGCCCTTGGCTTAGTAAAAGATTTATAGATATCAACTTGTGTCACGTGTAGACCAAAAAATATTTGAAGTGGCGTGTTAGGGCACCCGTGTCCTATGGACACATTTCTAATAACTCTTGTGTTATACCTGTTGACCTTTTGATGTTTTTTTCTACTTGAGTCGTTCCAGTATTCCTACTAAAACAATAATCACGCTTAAGATAAAATTTGATAAATTTATCACACATATATTTCGAATAACTGCCAATACAAACAGATCCATTGGCTTTATTAACAAGAATGTAATTACCAATAATGAGAAATTGAAAGAACTAGCATACAAGTCCCAGATACTGCCACAGGCTGAATATGCATCTACTATTTTGTTTCCGTACACGAAAACCAAGATTTACAAAGTTGAGATGATCTAGAGAAGTGCAATACGATAAGTAAAAAGGGATTACACCCCTCTCATCAGTATCACAGCCATGCAGGAAGAACTGGGCTGGTGATCCTTTAAACATTGCAGACTGGACTGTAGACTCATCATATTCATATAAGATATACCATAATCTACGGTAGTTGCAATTAATCTCCAACCATGTGTCCATGCAAGCCCTACATAGTTTAACCAAACATATGCACCCCTTATCCCTACGCCAAATACAGGTTTCCTCTGACTACCAAGAAAGTACCCTTTCTTCACACATGGCATTATATTATAATAAACTTCCTAGCTACATTGCCACCTGGCCAAACGGGCAGTAGTAGGATTGCAGTACTTGTCTTAAACTCTGTTATCCTTTATCTTCTTTCACTATTAACATTTTAACCATGAATAGAATAAATGTCCTGCCTCACCTTTTACAAACAATCCGACACGCACTAATTTCCTGTATATAACTATTGCCAGAGGGGTGGCAGTATTCAGAGATAAATATAGGATATGCCTTTTTTATATTTGTCTTTGATATGCCGGCTCCTGATGCAAGTTCTAAATTCCATTTTTTTCAGTTCTGCCTATTATTTTCTCATCAACCAGATAGAAAAATTCGTAAATGTTACTAAAAATAGCGGTGTCGGAAAATCTTATCTCACATGGGCTTATCTCACACTCAACGTGCATCACTTCTAAAAACGTATTCCTACACATACGCGATTCACTCCTATTTTTTAAAAAAAGGAAACGTCAAAAGGTCAAAATGTATTAAAAATGTGTGAGCTAATCTGTTTAATGGTCCACGGAACCCAAATAGATTGATGAGTCCTACTCTACCTAGGTCCACCCTTTTCAATATTGACCTGTTACTAAAAATTGCACACTTTAAAATATTGCAAAATTCTTCGTAAAATCGGATATTATGACACTTTTCCTGAATTTCTGTTGTGATAACGATGTTTCTTGATGACAAATCTCATTTTGATATATTTTAATTGAATATTCGGCCAAAATAAACGAATAAATCTTTGCAAACGGTAAACGCTTTTTGGCAACCATTTAAGTTTGGACTGAATTCCTTATAAACACTTATATTATGACACTTTCCCACTTTAATATTGATGTGTTTTATCATGATAACCTTGCTATTTTATGAGGGATCTCATTATTTATTTTCATTGAATTATCCACACATAAACTTGATTAGTAGAATTTTTTGTGGACGTACGTCAGGTGCCTAAGCCCCGCCCCGCTTTTCAAAACTAGGGCGTAGCAAGTAGATCTAGTTTCACTGATATTTATTGTGTCCAGGTGAATGAGAAAAATAATCAATCATTGGGTTAGAAATCCACACCCTCGGGCAATCGGTTCCATCGGGAACTCGCCAAGGCTCGTTCCCGATAGAACCGATCACCCTCGGGTTGGGATTTCCCTATCCTCTATCTAACCCAATGATAGATTCTATTATTCTCATTTAGGGCACACGAGGATCATACAGCGCTTTTTATTGAATGGCACAAACATGTCACATTCAAAGTATCAAATGTTTAATTCTGTGAAAGCAGGTTCGGGAGGTGTTGGGGGGGGGGGGGCATTTGTTTGCAATTACCACTTCCATCCAACCACAAGCCAAATCAAATCAAACCTTAAATATTTTCTATTGTGCTGTTTTGGGTATTCTTTAGTGATTTTTTTGTAAATTTTTATATGTATTACACACCAGCGGACAAAACTAAACAATTTCAGCAGTGACAACAGACACTAATTTAGGCAGTTTTGAAAAGAAAATCACATTTCAACTACTTTAATATATATTATAAACCTTGAAATATAATTAATTTTCAAATGTGCTTAAATTCAGTTTTAGTGGTATAATTATATGACAAGTATATGTGTGACAAATGAGCCGCGTCATGACAAAACCAACATAATGGGTTTGCGACCAGCATGGATCCATACCAGCCTGCGCATTTGCGCAGTCTGATCAGGATCCATGCTGTTCGCTTACAGACCCTATTACAAGTACAGAAACTGATAGCGAACAGCATGGATCCTGATCAGACTGTGCAAATGTGCAGGCTGGTCTGGATCCATGCTGGTCGCAAACACACTATGTTGGTTTTGTCGTGACGCGGCTCAAATATACAATTTATTTGGATTTTAAGGCGTTTGGAGCTCCTCAGAGTGTCTGTGGCAACGACACAACAAATTGAAATTTTTTGAGGAAACGAGATGATAACATGATAATAAAATAATAAAGTTTTATATTCTTTACTCATGTGTCAGACTTTAATATTTCGAAAAAGTGATGGGTTGAAGGAAATTATATAGTGGTACTCAACCTATACAAGATGTTACGGAACAGTTTTTATCCAATCTAATTTGCGGTTACATTCGGCACTTTTCCTGTTAGAAGGGAACGTGAAACGCTTCTTATTTTGAGGTAATATTACTGAATTGAACGCTAAGATCTGGTTAAAAGTATTTAAACGAGATGGGACAGAAAGAAAAGACGATTTCGGATGACCTTCTTCTGGTTCCATTTGCAACATACTCGATTGTAACAGTTGGCCTGCCAGGTCTGTCACTAGCCTACTGTTTCTGGTCAGCATTTCTGTTTTCAAATCCTAGTGAAATCAACGATACCGACTGCAATGTAAGTATTATTTCATTTTTGAATAATAAATCCATGTTTATTTCTAATTGAAAATCAAAACAGAATTGTTTTGTTGTTAATTGTTTTGTCACTGTTGTCAACTCTGTATATAAGGTAGGAGTGGGTGTGGCACTTTTTCACAGGTAATCAGAAAGGTGAAAGAGGTTTTGTCAAACTACTAGTTCAGTTAACTTATGTTATTGAACAAAATGAGATGAAGTTAAGGCAAACTAAATATATAAAGTAAAAGAGAGCTATTGTATACAATGGAGTGAAAAGTGGTTAATGCAATTTAATGTAGACAAATGCTGTGTTATTCATTATGGACACAATAAGATTCAGAGTCAACTCGTCCTCTGGTCAACTCGTCCTCTGGTCAACTCGTCACCTTTTTGGTCAACTCGTCCCCTGGACAACTCGACCTCTAGTCAACTCGTCCCCAACTCGTCCCTTATATTTTATTACTACTTGTTTTTCATATAGTTCATAAATCATTATAGACTGTTAAAATAATATATTATAAAATTACTGAATTGGACATATTTTGACGCTTTTTGTATGCGAATATTTGGAGTTTCATCTTATAATAAGGATATATATGCATAATTCTGATTAAATTACATACAGAAAAAAAACAACACGAAGACGATCAATAGCAATAACATTTAATGTATAAAAACATGTTTTATATGCAAAGATAAAATATCTTAAAGTATGTCTTTTTTGTCAATATTATGTCATACATGTATATAGTTACTTTCACTTTCACACTTTCATTTAATTAACACGATCCTTCTATAAAGAGATCAATACGCACCGACATAAAGTTTTTAGCGCTTCTAATTTCTGTTAATCTGTCATCAGTCTTTAATCCATTCAGGGAGGCGGTAAAAATCAAAGAGTTGGACCTAATTTTAGTTTTAATTATCATTAAAACTCCGATTAATTAAACATTAATTGAATGTTTGTAAACTTACCTGTCTTTGTAGTTTGACATCAAACTTTCAAAGCTATGCACGTGCGCTTAGATAAAGATCATTAATTATTTAAAGACATTTTAAAGATAGATAGATAGATGGATAGATGGATGGATTGGATGGGATGGGATGGGATGGGATGGGATGGGATGGGATGGGATGGGATGGGATGGGATGGGATGGGGATGGGATGGGATGGGATGGGATGGGGATGGGGATGGGGATGGGATGGGATAGGATAGGATAGGATAGATAGATAGATAGATAATTTATTGACGTATACATTCAGTACATAGTCATATTACACACATTTATATAGTACAATTAAACACAATATCTTGGTACATGAACAAAGTTGTAGCACAAATTTTCAATTTACATATTTTTGGAGAATGAACGTTAACACCATTTAGTACTAAAGTGAGCTAATCTATTATAAAGCGTTTACATTCTTAAAGATATAAAAAAATGGATTTTAAACTTAATCATATGCTAGCTGTGATAAGATTCCATTTAACAATGTTTCATACTAGACACATTATCAAGTAATTTCAAGAAATAAACAATATCACTTTTAAATACAACGAGACAAATTTATACATTGATTTACAGAGCATTTAGTAGTTCAATTCGATGTTTTGTAGCATAATACAAATATTTACCTAAACCTATTAATTCAGATTTCTTTTCAGTACTTAATAATTCAATCAATTTGAACATACTTGGTCTTCTGTAGTAGAATTGCTTAATGTAAAGAGAACGTATATTAGAGTAACTATTACAAACACATATAAAATGGAATTTGTAATATTTGGTACTTTGTATAGACAATAGTCTATAATATTATAATGACATCTAAGTCATTGTATAAACAACTAACACAAAGTGTGTCTTGACTGTTTAATTTACTAATTCCAAGTGCGCTGTAGCTGCATACATTTAGGCGGGAATACATGTTACAGAGAATCATGGGAAGTATAGACTTGCTATAGTGATAACATAAATGAATTACAAGTACATAATTCTACATCTCCTTTGTTTTGAAATTAAAAATATTGAATTATTATGTATGCCTAAAATTTCTTAACTTATAAAGTTAGATAAATCATAACAATAAAATGAAATTATTAAGAAGACAGAGTCATTATAATTATGAAGATGTTAACAAGTATAAGGGTCTACATTTTTATAATGAAATAAAATACATATGATATAAACATTCTCAAAATAAAATATCGGTCAAGTTTAGTTTATACTGTCCGAATGCTTTTCATTTTTCCGAATTCTCACACATTTTCTGATAAATAATTACTTTATCTCATAAGATCAGTTTACACTTGCCACATGGGGTTGCTGAGGTATTTGTTTGGGATAACATTATATCACGGGCTCGTTGTAAGCATTTATCAACGCCCATATGGCCTACATGAACAGCCTTTATCATTTCCTGCCTAAGTGAAAGAGGTATGAGTAATTTCTGACCTCTGAAAATTAGGTCTTTTCCCACGGACAATTCATCTCTGTGATTCCAGAAATCTAGGATTTTGGTGGGACAATTTGCTCTAGATTCCGGCCAACCACTTAAAATAGTATCTGTTAACAACTGACACTGTGAATCATTGCTAATTGCTTGTTTGACCTGTCCTGGAACAAAACACTACCTACCCAAGACATCGAAGCATCACACTGTATAGTAATTGGCTTCGTATGATCAAAGTATGCAAGAACTGGGGCAGATGACAGAATAGTTTTGACTTCCTGAAATGCCTTATTTTGTGCATCTTTCCACTCAAATTCTACATCTTTCTTAAGTAATGCACGCAGAGGGGCTGTGACCGTAGCTAATTTTGATGTAAATTTTGACATGTACGTGCACATTCCTAAGTATGTTTGTAGCTCAGCCTTATTATTGGGCGGTTGCATTTCAGTGATAGCACTGATCTTTTGAGGATCGGGCTTCACACCAGTTTCAGATAGAATACGATTTCACGCTCCAATAACCACTCGTGGCGTCAAGTACAGAGAAGTACTTCGCACCTGCAAGTTGTGAAGTAACTTCTTCGAAAGTTCTCATAGGGTAATGAGGTCTGTACAGGGCGTCATTTAGTGCCTTGGGATCTAGACATACCCTAAGTTTTTTAGTTTTGGGTTTCTCTACAATCACTAGATTGTTAACCCATTCAGTTGGATTTTTGACCTTGTCAATTTTTTCCAGCTTTTCCATCCGATCAAGTTCCTCTCGTAATTTCTCTTTTAATGCGACAGGAACCCGTCGTGGTGGGTTCACGACTGGTATAGAGTCGGGCTTTAAATGTAATTTAACTTCACCTGACATTAAACCAATACCATCAAATACAGGTTTAAATTCATTGAGAATAGAGGGCTTGTAGCCAGTCTCAGGAGATATTTCCTGGCTATCTAATGAGTAAACAATCTTGATTAAATTTAGGTCAGTGGATGCCTGGAGGGATAACAGGGGTGAGGATGTAGTTTCTACAACATAAAATGTAATAGGCATAGTGACTTGTTTACAGGTTACTTGTAACCTAATTGTACCTTTGACCTTAAGGCGATTGCCAGTATATGACGAAAGCTTTGCACTTGAGGGTTCTAAGGGGTACTTAATGCCAAGGTTTTTGAATTTTGATTCTGGCAAGATATTGACCTGACTACCTGTGTCAATTTTAAATAAGATGTTGGTACAATTTGGACCTATGCTTAAAGTGGCAAATGCTTGATCTTTTTGAGATAAAGAATTATTTACCGTATTTACATAGAAATCAACATCAGAATTTTCGGAACTGTCATAATCCGTATTTGCCTCAATGTCATGCACTGTTTTTGAACGGCATACACTCTTGAAATGATTTAATTTTCCACATTTGTCACATTTTTTCCCTTTTGCTGGGCACTCTCTGTCATTATGTTCATAACCACATTTGTCACATTTTTTACCACTGACTGCCGACTTCTTGGGTTTTCCATTTCTAGACTGCTTCTGTCTACTTTTACCAACTTCTGCACGTGCGGCTGGTGCACGGTGTCTGTACTCACGTCTGTTTGTTACAGCATGTACGTCATCGCGGCTCATTTCTTTCATTTGCTCCCTGGAGTATTCATAATTTTGACAGATTTGAATAGCTTTTTCTAAGGTTAAGTCCTTTCCTTGATTTATTAATTTCTCTCTAATTTTGTTCGAATTTGTCCCAAATACGATCCTGTCACGTAACATTTCATTTAAATTTGTAGCTAGTGTGTCTTGACTGTTTAATTCACTAATTCCAAGTGCGCTGTAGCTGCATACATTTAGGCGGAAATACATGTTACAGAGAATCATGGGAAGTATAGACTTGCTATAGTGATAACATAAATGAATTACAAGTACATAATTCTACAGAATTCATATTCTATTTCATTACTATCGCAAAGCTGACATATGCGTTCCTCTCGGGGTATTCTATTAGCACCATATCTACCTGTTTCAATCCGAAGTTTATGTGACGATAATCTTAATCTTGCTATGCAATTTCTATAAGTTCTGTTATGGAGAATTTTCAGGTAGTTTGCCATTTCAAATGAGTTATGCAAATGTACATATATATTACTTAACAATGGACTGTTTGAAATATCGCTAGAAAGTTTTTGCAAAAAGCAGTCAATCACTCTTTGTTTAAAAAGTTTAACAAAATATTTGGCTTCGTATTGAAAGTATTTAAAGACAGAGATCGAAAGTAGGGGACGAGTTGACCATATTAGGGACGAGTTGACCAAAAGTAGGGGACGAGTTGACCAAAAAGGTGTCGAGTTGACCAGAGGACGAGTTGACCAGGGGACGAGTTGACCGGATTGCCACAATAACACGGAACATCAATATTTTATGAAAAGTGACTTTACAACTAAACAATTGAGGTCTAGTGAGGAAGAAAGAGATTTAGGTATATTATATGATAAAGATTTGAAATTTCGACATCACATAAGTAATTGTATCAATAAAGCAAATAAAATAACTGGATTGGTCAGAAATACCTTCTTGCATGTTAATATCAAGCAATTTCGGAAACTTTATAAAACACTTATAAGACCGCACCTTGAATATGGAAATATTATTTGGAGTCCAAGATTTAAAAAAGATATTGAAGCAATCGAAAGAGTTCAAAAAAGAGCAACAAAAATGGTTCAATGTATCAGAAATTTATCGTATGTAGAAAGATTAAAAATTCTGGAAATTCCTACTTTGGCTTACAGAAGATTTAGAGGTGATATCATACAAGCATGGAAATTATTAAATGGGAAGGAAGATATAGATTATAATGTATTTTTTGAAAAAGCACAACTTGATAACTATCACATCAGAGGAAATTCCATGAAGTTGAAAATAAAATCATGTAAAAAGGAATTAAGAAAACATTTTTTCTCATTAAGAGTAATACCAGAATGGAATAAATTACCAAATTCTGTAGTATGTTCACCAACGCTGAATTCGCTAAAAAACAGACTCGATAAGGTTATGAAAAACAAATTATATACTGTTATACCGGATAATAATCATTGGGTGTCAGACCTCGAGGGGGTTATAAGAGATTTCTGATCTCGCGACCCTACGCTGGATAAAGTAAAGTAAAGTATATTAATTTGGTGGTACAATTTATATATATCAATGTTAGTTACTGCTGTCACAGGGGGAGAAAAAATATGCAGCCTGACCAGGACTCGAACCTGATATCCTCGGAACACCCTTCTGCAGCTCTACTGACTGAGGTATCTGGCCGCTTACACATCTTCTGTCCAATATAGTGCAGTCAATGCGAAAGTCAAAATTTTTTTCCGGCCACAAGGACTGGGATCCTTAGATTTATTTCCGGCCCTGATGATTTTTTCCCGGCCCGGACTCTGAAAGGTATTTTTTTGTAGGGGTGGGGGAGGGATGTTGCCATAATTATAAACAAAAATATTTAGAAAATATGAATTATCAGACTTAACTATCAGATACTATGAAAAAAATATACAAAAACATAATATATAAAACTTTAGTTTAATTCACAAGAAAACGATACATCTTTCAAAGGTTGGAGACAAAATATGTTTTGGTAAGGAAATTATCCAAGACAAGATGGTGGCTTACATTACTTAGCAAAAACTGGTTGTATCTTGCGGTGATTTTGGTTATCTGGGTCTGTGAATACAAGCAAAAATGGAAAAAAAAAGATCGATCTTGGAAGTTTTGCATATTTCAGAAGGCCAAAAATTTTCAAACTGGCTGAAATTTTATTGTGACATGAGGACTGACTGTATAGAAATTTATCTCGGCCCTCCTGATTTTTAGTTGGTGAGGTCCGAGGACCGACAGACTTTCACACAGACTGTATAGTGAACAGTTCTGAACCAACTATATTGAAATTCATTTTCGGATTTCTCAGGGTTACAGAGCAATGCAGGGCCCTCAATCAAATTTTTGGGAAGTGGGTTACTACCCTCAGCAGAGGAATTTTCACTGGATAGGGATTTTTTTTATTTTCCTTTTGGTCAGATATCCATTAACTACCACTTAAAAAATATCAGTGTTTTTTAGCTCGACTATTCGAAGAATATGAGAGCTATTGTAGTCGCCCCGTCGTCTGCGTCAGCGTCCGCGTCGGCGTCTGCGTTGGTGTAAGTTTTTTGTAAAGTCAAATATCTCAATTATTACTTCAGATATTCAATTGAAACTTACAATACTTATTTAAAGTAACAAGGTACATCAGATTGACAAGTTGGATAACTCTGCCTACAATATTGACTGAATTATGCCCCTTTTTAACTTAGAAATTTTGGTTAAAGTTTTTTGTAAAGTCAAATATCTCAATTATTGCTTGAGATATTCAATTGAAACTTACAATACTTATTTATAGTAACAAGGTACATCCGATTGACAAGTTGGATAACTCAGCCTACAATATTGACAGAATTATGCCCCTTTTTAACATAGAAATTTTGGTTAAAGTTTTTTGTAAAGTCAAATATCTCAATTATTGCTTGAGATATTAAATTGAAACTTACATTACTTATTTATAGTAACAAGGTACATCAGATTGACAAGTTGGATAACTCTGCCTACAATATTGACAGAATTATGCCCCTTTGGAACTTAGAAATTTTTTGGTTAAAGTTTTTTTGTAAAGTCAAATATCTCAATTATTGCTCGAGATATTCAATTGAAATTTAAAATACTTTTTTATAGTAACAATGTACATCAGTTTGCAAAATTGCATAACTCTGCCTGCAATATTTGCAGAATTATTTGCCCCTTTGAAACTTAGAAATTTTGGTTAAAGGTTAAAGGTCTTCAAAGATATTTACTTGAAACTTTACACATGCACTTAGGGTCATAATTGGAGGGTCATAATTGTATGTCACTGACCAAGTTCCATAACTCCATCTTGCATTAAGGCTGATTCATATCCCCTTTCTACTTAGTCTCTTGGTTAATGTTTACATGCAAGTTTTACATATCTCAATAACTATTAAAGATATTTATTTAAAACTTCTCATATGCATTTAGGGTCATAATTGTAGGTCACTGACAAAGATCCATAATTCTATCTTGCATTTAGGCTGATTTTTCTCCCCTTTTTTCAACTTAGAAATTCATGGTAAAGTTTTGCTTGTAAGCTGTTATCTCAATAACTACTTAAGGGGTTTTTTTGGGACAATTTTATGCATTCATGATAACAAAGCAGTGATTTACTTGATAAAACATCTTAATAACAAGCCTTTGTACCTTTTCTGTCAAATTTATGTATTCATAGGTAATTAGTATTATTATACTCAATAAAATACCCTTGTGACATTTCCTTCCGAATAGTCAAGGCAATACTGTATTTATACAGTATTGCCTTGACTATTCGGAAGGATATAATTAGACTCTCTCTAAGGCCTATAACATGAATTTATAAAAAAAATTAGCCCTTTTGTGAACTTAAAAAATCATACATTATCAAGGCTCTTTTACTATCAAGCACTTAGAATAGTCGAGCGTGCTGTCCTACCGACAGCTCTTGTTTGTTTTTAAAACAACTATTGTGAAACATTTTGAAGACTAGTCTTCCTGTTGCATCTATACAAATATCAAACCATATGAAACAGAAAATGGTGCAGCTAACATACAATATTCCTGTGACAGTATTCAGCCACAGATTTGGTATATTGAGGGCCCAGCAATATGAATGAAACATTATGCTAATCTATATGCAGTCATGGTTCCCTGTTGGGCGCCAAATGTCACTGGGTGAGAAAAATATGCAGCCTGACCGGGACTCAAACCCGGGACCTTCTGATTACTGTTCTGCGACTATACCAACTTAAGCATTTGCAGCTTACACATCTTCCAACCTTTATAGTATCAGTTCTGAACTGTAACACTACTTTAAACATGTTTCTTCCTTGTTGCCTTTAATTTTTCTACCAAATTGACTAATCACTATAAAGTAAGATTTATGTACAAGGTCTGTTAGTACAAGTTAACAACATATATCTTGTTAACATTTGAAGGCATTTGCTTGTAATTGCTTGCAAATCTTTGAGATCATAAAAGAGTTCACCAGAGTGTATTCTAGGAGGCGGGATGGGAGAGATTCAGTCATATTTTGAGAATGCCCCCCCCCCATATATTTTCAGAGGCAGGGGGAAATTTTACATAGAGAAAGAAGGGAAAAGATCAACAAATGTAACAAATTCTCATTTTTCGATAAAAATCCCCCCTGTTTTTCAAATACTAAAATAGACACTGAGTTCACTACATATTTAAAGCTGCATTTTATAAATGAAATAGTTTCATTTCCTTAATAAAATGGGTTTCATGTTGACTCATGTTTTTATTTTGGTGTCCAGACGACCAAAATAAGCGAAATCATGGGTACATTTCCTATTTACATGTGAAACTCAGCCTTTAGGTTGCTGAGCATCAACATCAAATCAACAAACATGGCTTTAAGTAGCAGTCCGAATGTAAGGGTATATTACGCATCATATAACGGATGTTTTCATGATTTTATTAAATGATAACCCTTGTATAAATGACAGACCTAATGTACGGCGAAGTCAAAACTGCAAAAGTTGATTAGATGGGAAGATCTTCCAATTGCCGTTTACAAGAACTATTGATTTTTTGAAGGTCTAACACTGGGACGTAGCCTATACACAAGCTGATTACAGTCTTCATTTGCCTGTTAAAATTTGTTTACAAACTTCAGTGTTACCATTGGCTTTTCCTTTTAAAATCATAATTTCTGAAAAGTATGATGACACTGGGAAAAGGCCTGAACGTAAATACATGTGTAGTGTAATCTCTATTTAAAACAGTGCTTGAAAAAGCAGAAAAAAACATACAAGAGGACAGACTGATTAACATACTTACATAAATCTATCCAAAGAATATCAAATTAATGGAAAATGTATTTATCCTTATAAAACATGCATTCTGTTCATTTCTTCAATAAGAATATTTTTAAAAAAATAATTTTGTTAATCTGTTTCATTTCTGTAGGTCACAAACAATATACCATCAGTGAGTGCTGTGACTGGAGTTAAACCTCAAGCTTATGTGTGGAGAATATGTATAGGACTACATTCAACACCAAGATTTTTTGTTGGAATCATGTATTATAATTACTACAAGAAAAGCCTACCATTTATAAAAAAGAATCTTCAAGGATTATATAAGTTTTTAATGAGACTATGCTTTTGGCTTTACACTATAGAATGCTCATGTTTGTTGGCTGTCAGCTGTATATCAAATAAAGAAAACTATCGTGAGTATACACATGATTTTTATATCTTTAAAGTCAAACGTCATTTAGTTTATTTGTAGAAGTGCTGAGACACATATCTTTGGTTATCATTATCTATCAAAGAAAAATCTTCTTTTCTTAATATCTTAGATTTCTTACTAAATCAACTTTTGGCTCATTGTTTTGACTTGACTAATCAAAGAAAAGGGAGAGATATTGTACTTATTCAGGCGTTGGGCTTGCCAACACACTTTGGTTCAGTAAATTAGGATATCGCCAAAAAATTCTACAGGAGGGAATGGGTTGAAACTTCACACATTTATTTGAGAGTCCATGGCAAAGTGGTTGAGGTTGTTGACTACAAACCACTTGCCCCATCAGGGACTTTGGATTCTTTTATGTGAGGAAACTATCCAGCCAGCTTATAGAACAACAGTGGTTCTACTAAAGTGCCCCATCGTGCCTGAAATAATGCATGGATGGCACCCGAGGTCTTCCTCCACCAGTATAGCTGGAAAGTCGCTATATGACATATACTGTGTTTTTGTGCGACATAACCCAACAAAAAAATTTTTTGTTACCCAACAACAAAAAAACTTATTTGAGAGCAGAATAGGTCACTGACCAAGGCCCTTAACTCTAACAGAATTACGGTCCTTTGTGAACTTAATTCTACATTATTCAGACTCTTTGTTTTGCTATCAATCAGTTTTGAGTCCTACCAACAGCTCTTTATAAACCATGATTTCCTTATGATAATATTTTAACTCCATCAACTGATCTATTTCATAGTAATTTGTATGTTCAGATTATTTATTTTAAAAGATGATTACAGAAAATACCAGAAAATTACAGATAATAGTGGGTACAATATTTGAAAAAGGTGAATTTCACAGAATGATCATTTATATTACATGATGGTTATGACATTTATTTTTCAGCTCTTCATGAAAAAATATTTGTTGTGTTTATGATAACATCTATTGCACATATGGTATTTGGAACAACATTGTACAGATGGTCCAGGCATAAACCTATGACAGATAGAGTGAGTTATCTTAATAAACAATATAATAATCAATTAATTAATTAATGAGGATAATCCTATATTCATAGTGATTTATTCCCATAACCTTTTAAATGTCATAAATTCAGTTAATTTCATTTTTGCACTTAATTGAAATTTAATTGATATTTTGTTAAACTTGAATAAAAAAACTCTTGGTTTGCATTGGTCACATGAGTGAATTCTATGGATAGTGGCAGAGAATGAACAGATTGACTTTTTACACTGTCCATTTTAGTATTACATCAAGGCCAAAAACTCTCATAATATTTGACATATACTTTACCATAATCTTGGCATAAATGATTATTCTGCCATATTAAACATATCAAAAATTCTCCAGATTGTATTTAATGTTTTTTTAATTTATTTATGAATTTGAAACAGCTGTGAAAATTGTATTGTTGTAGGAAAAGAAATCATTTTTCTGGAAGAAAGTAATGTTAGCATGGATAAGCCTGTCAACTGTTGGCCTTCTCTATTATTTTGTTCAGCATAGAGTGTACTGTATACCAGGCGGTAAGTTATTATATGAGCCGCGTCAGGACAAAACCAACATAATGAGTTTGCGACCAGCATGGATCCAGACCAGCCTGCGCATCCGCGCAGTCTGATCAGTATCCTTGCTGTTCGCTATCAGTTTCTCTACTTGTTATAGGGTTTGTAAGCGAACAGCATGGATCCTGATCAGACTGCGCGGATGCGCAGGCTGGTCTGGATCCATGCTGGTCGCAAACCCATTATGTTGGTTTTGTCGTGACGCTGCTCATATATACATCTCATCTTTATCTTGTACTCAAAAAACACACACTTAAATTACCATACATGAATAGATAATATGCTTGAAGTTCTTTTGATATGTTTTATAAACTACTTTTACTTCTTAACAAACTAATGTATTTCTTATTTGATTGTAAAAAAGGAAAATTTGTTTTCAAAGTCTGAAAGAAAGGTGAAATAGGAGAATGTTGTTACCTTAACCATGAATAAATCTGTTAGAAAAAAGTAAGACACTTCCTTATACAGATTCCATTCTTGTTGATGTTTGATTGTGATTAAATATATGACTTAACATTTTTTTTTTTATGGATGGATATGTAGCAGTTGAATATCTGACGTCATATTCTTTATGTGCACCTTTTCCCCTGCCCTTTGATGAAAACTGTCTAAAGTTGCTGGTGTTTTTATATGAACTTGTCATCAATAACAATCTGCACTATTATAAATTCATAAATATAACACTTGATTACCTCATCAGGTCATATTTATCTTATCTGGCTATATTTTCCAGTATTTACAGTCAGCAACTTGTATAACTGATGTCATGAATGTTGTAAAGACCGTATAATATAGGGCTTGTATACATATTTGAGCCATGTCACAACAAAACCAACATAATGGGTTTTCGACCAGCATGGATCCAGACCAGCCTGCGCATCTGCGCAGTCTGATCAGGATCCATGCTGTTCGCTATCAGTTTCTCTACTTGTTATAGGGTTTGTAAGCGAACAGCATGGATCCTGATCATACTGTGCGGATGCGCAGGCTGGTTCTGATCCTTGCTGGTCGCAAACCCATTATGTTGGTTTTGTCGTGACGCGGGTCATTTATAAATTTCAATTATTCAATAGTAATACTTGAATACACTTTTCCTTTTTACAGCTTTCAGTATATTCTCAGTGTTTGAGTATATGATAGCATATGCAAACATGGGATATCATGTGACTGGCTACCTCGAGTTCTGTGACAAAACCCTCATAGCAGCTGACATTCAACCTGAAACCGTGAAAAATGGCAACAGATACCCTATACGCAATGGAAGAAGTAAACATGACTAAACTATACAATATTTAATGTGATTTAACATATGAGCCGTGTCACGACAAAACCAACATAATGCGTTTGCGACCAGCATGGATCTAGATCAGCCTGCGCATCCGCGCAGTCTGATCAGGATCCATGCTGTTCGCTAGCCAACCCTATTATAAGTAGAGAAACTGATAGCGAACAGCATGGATCCTGATCAGACTGCGCGGATGTGCAGGCTGGTCTGGATCCTTGCTGGTCGCAAACCTATTATGTTGGTTTTGTCGTGACGCGGCTCATATTTGTTTAATGAAGGTTGTAGTTGTTCTATGTTAGATATATTGGTGTAGGATGATTCCTTCCTCAACAGTTACTATGTTAACTTGGAAATGATGAAAAAACTTAGGTCATGAAGACAAGTTATCATTTGTTATAATAGGGTCACTGAGATTTGGTGAACATTGAGTTTAGGCCATGTTAGTCCTTATATTTTTCACATACAAAGAAGATTTTATTCTGTTGGTTGACAATAAAAGTACCTCTGTTAAGGTACTGGTAATATATATTCATAATTCAACAAAAGTAAGAATTTTCAAGTTTTAATGACTTTTTTTCTGACTTATGTGAACAAATCGGGTTGTAAGTCATCAAAGGGTAGGAAATTTAGCTAAGAAGAGTAAGGCTTTAAAGAAATGTCAGAGTAAGGCTTTAAAGATATGTCAGGGTAAATAAATTAAACATACCTAAATTATTAATATACCTCAAACTCAACTCCATATCTTGATATTAATGTTTACTTTTGTAGGAACATGAACTTTTAGGATTGAAAAATTATTAACTTTTTAACAAGGTTCAATACATGTAGAACTGACTTATTATATTTTAGATACTAACTATTGTTGATATTTTTATATATGGAAAGAATGTATTATTTATTCAAATTAAACAATAAAGGATGTCCTTACATATAGATCTAGTGATTTGAATAATATAATATTAAGTAAAAAATGACTTTTGCAACATTCTAATGATAAACTGGTTTAAGTATTATTTATTCCAAAATATTTGGTCAGTGCCAAGTCTGGCTTGATCTGGTCAGTTTATTCTCAATGAAGTGATTTTGTGACACAGTATAAAATGGTTTACTAATAGAGGAAACAATGTGTAAGCTGGGGACTAGCTAGTTGTTTGATCTTGGTTAGATTCATATTCTGACAGCCCATGTTCAAGCCAGGCTGCATATTTTTTTCACCCTATGTTGTGTGCAAAATAATCATACTTATTTTAGATTTCTAAAAGAACCATATATTATGTTAATATTAACATAATATAGCTTTAACAGTTGTATTTGATATTTGCTCATACTAAAAAGGCAGAATTGTAATGTTTTATTTAGATTTTTACCCAAATTTTATTTACTTGATGTATGTAGGCATCCGTAGAGTTTATCGCTAATAGGGCTTGAAGTTTCATATGGTAATGGGATTTAATATAGATAAATGTATATTATATGCCTGTCAATTTTTCTCCGTAAAATAAATGCAAACATTAAATTGATTCCAACACACAGAAATAAGTGTAAGATGTTAGTGACAAATACCATATCTGGAAGTGCCAGACTATTTATCTGGATCCAATTTTGCTTGTGTGTTACTTGGTATTTGGAAACAGAAATTGATGCAACTTTGGGCATGACCTCTTCTACAATGCTGATTTATTCATCCGTCATTCAAGAATTTTATTTCATGACAGCTATAATTCTGTTTCTTAAATAACTAATAAAAGTTCAGTAAATTGAATATCCTTTTGTCGGTAAAGGTGTGCAATAGATAGAAAATTGTCTTGTAGTGGCTTTTTGAAGCTTATATTTTGCTACTTGCAGGGTGGGAAAATTGATATCTCCTTCAACCTATAGTGTTGCGGGATATCAATTTTACCACACTGTTTGTATCAAAATACCTCTGAAAGCTACCATTACATTATAAAATATTCATTACATATCTGTACGTTTTCTGATGATAAAAATATGGTCATTTTCAACTGTAAACATACAAACATCTAGATCAATTTTTACATACAATAATTGTATTGCTGTAGTTACTCTGTCAAGAATATTTGAGCTGTGCCATGACAAAACCAACATAATGTGTTTGTGACCAGCATGGCTCCAGACCAGCCTGCCCATCCGCTTGGCCTGATAAGGATCTATGCTGTTTGTTTACAAACCCTATAACAAGTAGAGAGACTGATAGGGAACAGCATGGATCCTGATCAGACTGGCTCATTTAGTTGTGTTGTATTCATATGCTTATCATAAGAAAAAAAAGATACATACTCTCTTGGTTTTGTTCAAGTTCTTTTACATTTAGTGTTACAGAAATAACAAGTGTTACAGAATTATTATTACATAAGTGTGCAATATTCACTATTAACATTTATTAGAATATTCTGTCGATTTCGGAGTTAAAAAGTTCTTAAAATTAAGCAACATGATCTAAAACATTTAAGATTTTCTTTCACCCATTGCCTTAAATACTTTACGGTTAATAAAAGTTAATAAATCTGGCCTATATAAATGTTTCAGTAGAAATATGAATACATAGTTATAATGTTTGTGTTATTGTCAATGTTGTGTTGATATTATTTACTTGTTTCAGTGTCAGTTGTTTTTAAGTCGTGCATTTGTTTTATTACACAGTTTATTAATAAAGTTTATGTAAAATGTACAGCAAAGTGTCTTAAACATTGTGATAGAATATAAAAAAGTGTGACAATATCTGCCTTACCATAGTAATATTTTAGTATAGTTTATAGACATAGTTTATAGTGATAGTTTATATTTGTTATTTTAAAAGATGGCATTTTTTTACTTAATTCATGAAGCACTATAGGTTATGAAAATGTTTAGTTTTATGTTATGCTGTTATATAGATATACACTGTAGTATAAAGATGTTATAATAATGTGCTTGCTTTGTCACTTGTACTTTTGATGATACTGATTATGAGACCAGCACATTCCGTGTATACATTAAGAATGGTTTGTCTGAAAATACCTGTCCTGTTCAAGTGATCCTGTATATGTCTGATATTTAAACTGAAGAACGAGTTTCCTGATAATTGACAAGATGTTTTGTATGTAGATAAGTATATATTTGTAACCACATGTAGTAATTACACAAAATTGCTATAGATACTCAATAAACAACTTTATTTTTTCTGTTTTCTGGAGATAAAATATTGTTTTACAAAGCCCCCCTTTTACTGAAGGTTAATTTTATGCCTTAATAGTATTAGATGATGTTAAAGTGACATTATGCTAATTTTTTTTTTCATTGTCAAATTGGGTTGAATTAGCAATATATTTCAATAAACTATATATTATAATGGTGATTGACCAATAAATGATCAAGAAAATATTTATGATACAATATAAAAGTACCAGAATTGTAAAAAGACTGCCCCACTTTTTAAAGAACTTAGCTTTACCGATACACTGATATTTATAGAAATTTTGGTCAAGTGGATAATTGATTATTTTTTCATAATAAAATATAAAATTAAACACAGTTATGGCAAAATGTCAAGTTATTTAAGAAATAATATATCCTAAACTGTGATTTTATTGCTCAATAACATCACTGTTTGGAGTTCGGATGCGGGGAATTATATCACGAGGGCGTAGCCCGAGTGATATAATGATGCGCATCCGAACGACAAACAGTGATGTTATCAAGCAATAAAATCATCGATTTGGATATATTATTTCGATTCTAACACGACATCAACAAATAAATGCTGCCGTACATGATAATTAGCTAAATTGCGTCTGATTTGTTTCCGTACTTATTGTCAGCGCGTCACATTTTAAGTGGTTACGTCACGTGTATAATGATTACGTCACATGTCTAAATATAGAACGTCAAACAGTGATTTTATTGCATAATAACACACACTTTCGGTTCTTCTATGTTCAATAGGGAAAAATTCGGGTCGTGTTAGAATCTTGATTTTACATGTTCACTGACCATCTACACTTTTATAGGCATAATGTCACTTTGAAGAATAATATAGTACAAACATGTTAAGTAGTTTGCTTTGTAGTACTATAACTGATATTGAGTAAAAATTATTGTTACTTTTTTGACAATAACTTTCATAATGTTTTCATCCTGTATGTCATAATATTAGTATTAAATTTAAGTAGAAAACATTATCTGTTATAACATTTTAGAATGGTTTCTTACAGAGCAGCTAATTTTAGTGTTTCAATGTAAGATCCAGTGCAGGTCTGTTCCTAAGATGATATTTTATTTCATTGGTTTTACTAAAACTGCCCTTTAACTCAAATATTATGATACTTCTTTATTGATTTTACATACCAAATCTTGATTTTTGTATTTTTATCTTAGCGTGTTCAAATGTTTTAAATTAAAGCACAATATACTCCGTTTAACAGTGTCTTGTAGCTACAATGTAATATAGACAAATGTGCTTTGTGCACATAGAGTAGATTTAATACATCTTATATCACCTTATCTGACCAGTATATAAATGTACTTGTATCATAGTTTTGAGACCTTTCTGTTGAAAATGTGTCTGGGTTAAATCGTATACATATATATGCACAGTGCGTTAACTGGAGTGCGGTTATTAGTTACCCGCACTCCAGAGCATGCCCATTGATTGGCTCATTTTGCTGGGGTTTACATATTGTGACGGCAGAGAAAGGGAAAGCGGCAGAAATGTCATATTCAGATGTTCGTTCATTGGTTCATTTTTGCCGGGGTTTCATATTGTGACAACAGGGAACGTGCTTTTGTTTGACTATGATACAAAAGAGAAAGAACACCAAAACACTCGGCAATCTGATTAATACTCGGGGGTTATGCCCCCTCGTACAAATCAGATAGCCTCGTGTTTCGGTGCTCTTTCTATTACATGTTGTATGCATTAATTAATCAAGATAATTTTGTCAGACACAATATCTGTTGAATTTTGTTGATGCTATTAATTGTATATTTGTCACTTATATGAATTATTTATACAAAGTGTTTG